TAGCAAGAATATCATAAAAGTCTAGAAGGATTACACCTTTGAAGATGTCACCATTGTTATTTAAAAAGCCATGAAAGCCATTAAGCCAAAACCAATAAATTCTGCTGGAGAATACTGTGTCCAGAAGTTGTGCATGATTTCACAGAATTCACAATAGAGACAATCCAGGAAGTTATGAAAGAGATTGTACATATGGCACCAAAAAACCCACATTGTTCAAAGGTGAACTGTAGTATGGCCCAATAGTATGGGTAGTATGGAAATTTTCCATTGTTAAGTTTTTCAATCCATAAATGTGGAATGGGTTTCCAATCGATTGTGGCTTCTTTAATTTCTTTCATCATTGTTTTGAAGTTTTCAGTGTATAAGTCTTTCACCTCCTTAGTTAAATTTATTCTGAAGTATTTTATTCTTTTGATTTTATTTTAAATGGACTTGTTTTCCTAATTTCTTTTCAGATAGTTCTTGGTTAGTATATAAAAATTCAACTGGTTTCTTATGATGATTTTGTGTCCTGCAACTTTACTGAATTTTTTTTTATTTCAGCATATTATGGGGGTACAGATGTTTAGGTTACGTATGTTGCCTTTGCCCCCCACCCCCCAAGTCCGAGCTTCAAGTGTGTCCATCCCCCGGATGATGCGCATCGCACTCTTTGTGTATGCATATACCCATCCCCTCCTCCCCGCTCCCCGCTGCCTGACATCCAATAAATGTTATTCTTATATGTGCAATTATGTGTTGATTAGTTAATACCAATTTGATGGTAAGTACATGTGGTTTACTGAATTTTTTAATTCAGTTCTAACAGGTTTTTTTGTGTCTTTGAAGTCTTTAAGGTTTTCTATAAAGTCATGTTATCTGCACATAGAGACAATTTTACTTCCTTTCCAGTTTGGATGCCTTTATTTCTTTATTCTTGCTTAATTTCTGTGACATAGACTTGCAGGACTGTGTTGAATAGAAGTGGTGAGAATAAGCATCCTTGCTTGGTTCCTGAAAGCTTTCAGTTTTTCACCCTTGAATTTAATGTTAGCTGTGAGCTTTTCACATATGGCCTTCATTATATTGAGGCAATTTCCCTAGCTCATTAAGAGTTTTTATCATGAAAGACTGTTAAAATTTATCAATCCTTTTTATACATCTACTGATATGATAATGTGGTTTTTGTCCTTTATTTTGTTAATGTGGTGTTTTACACTGATTTTCAAATGTTGACTCTTACGTTTCAGGTATAAATCCCACTTGGTTATGGTGTAATGTAATATTCTTTTAATATGCTGATAAATTTGGTTTGCTAGTATTTTGCTGAGGACTCTTGCATCTATATTTATCATGAATATTGGCTTGTAGCTTTCTTTTCTCTTGGTATCCTTGTCTGGCTTTGGCATCAGGGTAATGCTGGCCTCATAAAATAAGTCTGAAGTTGTTCCTTCATCTTCAATTCTTGGAAAAAGTTTGAGAAAGGTTGATATTAGTTTTTTCTTTAAACGTTTATCAACACTCACCAGTAAAGCCATCTGGTCCTGGGCTTTTTATTGCTGGGAGGTTTTTGATTTTACATTGACCTATTTGTAGGCCTGTTTAGACTTTCTATTTCTTTATGATTTATTCATAGTAGGTTTTATTTCTCTGGAAATTTATTCATTCCTTCTCAGTTATCCAATCTTTTGATGTATAATTGCTCATAATAGTATCTTACAATTCTTTTTATCTCTGTGGAATCAGTTGTACTGTTTTATCATTCATTTCTTATTTTATTTTTTTGAGTTTTCTCTCTTTTTTCTTTCAGGGTGCAGGACCTGTGGTATTAAGGCCACAATGTGGCCTTCTAGATTCTTAAATGTAGCCTTTGACTTTTTGACTGAATCCAAAGACTGCACTTAAGGATCTAGCAGGCCACATGTGGACTTAAGGCCCTGGGTTCCTCACCCCTGGTAAGGTTTGTCAACTTTTTTATCTTTTCCAAAAAACCCAATTCTTAGTTGTGTTAATTTTTTCTATTGCTTTTCTATTCTCTATTTCATTTATTTCTACTCTAATCTTTATTATTAATATTTCTTTTCCTTTGCTAACTTTAGGTTTAGTTTATTTCTCTTTTTATAGTTTGTTGAGGTATAAAGTTTGGTTGTTTATTTGACATTATTCTTTTTTTATTGTTATAATTATATAAATTTTGTTAGTGTTTATTGAGAATAAACTATATGCCAGATGCTGTTAGTGACCATCAATTGGAGAAAATAATCTCTACTTGTAGGCTACAGGAATAAAATTTACCCTACCAATGTAGGCATTTGTCACTATAAACTTCCCTTTTAATACTGCTCTTGCTGCATCCCATGCTTTGTTATGTTGTAGTTTCAATCTTGCTTGTCTCAAAATATTTTCTAATTTTCCTTTCAATTTCTTTGACTAGTCAGTTGTTTAAAAGCGTGTTAATATTCACATATTTGTAAATTTTCCAGTTTTTCTTCTGCTATTGATTTCTAGTTTCATTCCATTGTGGTTGGAAAAGATAATTGGTATGATTTTAATATTAAATTTGAAAGGACTTGTTTTGTGGCCTAACATGTGGTCTATCTTAGAAAATGTTCCATATCTGCTTGAGAAGATTTTATATCCTGCTGTTGTTGAATAAAGGGCTTTCTACATGTTAGGTCCATTTGGTCTATAGTGTTGTTCATGTCTTCTGTTTCCTCATTGATAGTCTCTTTGGTTGTTCTATTTATAACTCAAAGTTGTGTATTAAGGTCTCCTACTAGTATATTTAGCCTATTATGGAGGGCTGACTGTAGTATACCATTTTATATAAGGGACTTGAGCATTCATGGATTTTGGGATCCCTGGGGGGGGGGGTTCCTGAAACCAACACCCCGAAATACCAAGTGATGACTGTATTGTATTCCCCTCTATTTCTCCCTTCAATTTTGTCAATATTTGCATATATATAATATTTTCGTGCTTCAATGTTGGGCACATATATGTTTATAATTGTTGTGTCTTCCTGCTGAATTAACATTTTTATCATTTTATATGTCCTTTTTTGCTTCTTGAGACAGTTTTTTACTTAAAGTTTATTTTGTCTAATATATTTATACTCACCCCTGTTTTCTTTTGGTTATCATTTACGTTGAATATCTTTTATCCAACCCTTCATTTTCAGCCTATGTGTGTCCTTAGATCTAAAATGAGTCTTATAGACAGCACGTAACTGTATTCTGTTTTATCCATTCAGCTACTGTATGTATTTTGGTTAGACAGTTTAATACATTTACATTTAGAGTAATTATTGATAGGGAAGGATTAACTGTTGCCATTTTGTTAATTGTCTGTTTTCTTTTTATCCTACAGTACCTTCATCCCTCTTTTCCTCTCTTGCTGTCTTCCTTTGTGATTTGTTGATTTTTTATATTGAGATTCTTTGACTCTTTTTTCCTTTTTTAACTTCTATAGTGCAGCCCCCAGGGTCTGGCATATACCTGGCCCCAAACAGGCAAGATAAAAACCAGTTCCTTGAGTAAAACTCAGAAAATATAAAATCTTTCCCTACCCATACAGAAGCTGAGAGCTCAGGTTTTTTGTTTTGTTTTGTTGCCTGCCAACTCTGCACTAAGTTGGAGGGGGAGCAGGAGCTGTGTTGAATGACCACATACAAGTTCAAATTGCCACAGTTGTTCTCTGTAGCCTCCAGAGCTCTAGCACATTCTGGGTCCTGTCAGCACTTTAAGATAGGTGAGATAGAAGCATGTCCCTTGGGTAGCACCTGTAAAAGTTGCAATTTTGGATGTGCAGTCCAACTCCTTCCCTTCCCAGGGATAAGCTGGGATAAGCTGAGAATTGTTTTTTTTTTTTTTTTTCCTTTCATCCACTCACTCTGTGTTGAGCTAGGTAGAAGAGCTGTGGCAAGTATCCACACACTAGTCCAAACTGCTAGTTCTTCCCAATTGTATGACACTCTACTGAGTAGGGGATTATGGCAAGAGGGTGTCTCCAATTTTCTTACTGGTTTCAATGTGTCTGGTTTTTCACTTGCCTGAAGTACAGGAGCCTCTCAACTAGTTTCTGGATTACTCACAAGTGGAATAAATCTGTGTATTGCTATTTCATCAGTGTGTTTGTGGGGGTGGAAATAGTCCAGTGCTTCCCATTCTGCAATCTTGCTAATATCTCATGTATGCTTTCTTATTATGATTGTTTATTTTATATCTACTAAAATAGCTCATTTATACTTGAGATAAAGCATTTACGTATTATCTTATGCATCCTTTAAAAGAAAATGTATTCAAAATAAAATGGTTAAATTATCCCTGACATTAAGAGTTCATCTCTTCTGGGTTACTTTTAAACTCAAATTTTCATTGTGTGTATTTTTTTTCATGCTGTATAGAGAGCTGGAGATACAGGTTTCTAGTTGTGAAATGGAGTCCCTTTATTGACTCTGAGGATTTCTTGAAAACTACTTTAGTTTAAACCAAAGGCTAAAAACACCTGTTCTTTATGAGCCAAAGAATGTATATTCTTTTCAATATTATGTAAACTATGAGGGTTAAAAGGATTGTAATATTTTATTCATTAATTTATTCAACAAATGGTGTTTTCTTGACTTCATCGGATGGTACCATAGACATTTTCAGACAACAATGAAGATTTGTATTCCTTTCATAGATAGTTCTTAAATGGTCTGCAGGCTTAAATGTCCAATGATGGCAGTTGTCCAATCATGTAATCAGAAAAGCCACCAAGTTCACACAAGCTCAGGCACATGACAAAAATGCCGTGATGGATTCCTAGACAATAGCAATTGCAAGATGTCATTAAATGTTAGACTTATCCTGGATTCAGAGATGAAAAAATATGAAAAGAAAAAATAATGTACTAGAATTGATGAAATATAGTTTACTTTCTTCAGCTATGGAGGACAGCAATCATTATCATTATTTCCTCAAAATTACTGTTTTCAAAATGATTGTTGATTGGCTTCTTCTAATTATTTATTCTAGGCACTATCAGAATAACTCCTAAGGACTCTCGTTGGGTTGGTGCTTGGTGGCTTAGTTTCCTTGTGTCTGGACTATTTTCCGTTATTGCTTCCATACCATTCTTTTTCTTGCCCAAAAATCCTTATGCACAACAGAAAGAAAGGAGAATTTTAACATCTTCACATGTGCTCAAAACAAATGAAGAAAGGAATAAAACTGCTAGTTTGCTCAACCATAAAAGCAATATTGCTGATAATGTGACTGGTAAGTATTTCACATTGATAGTCAACTTTAAATTCTTAATTTTAATGAAAAGAAAGAATGGGTACTCTAAAATATTAATAATAAATATTACCCAAACTGTCTGGAGTTAGCTTTCTTTTGCAGTAAATTTAGCTGAATTATTTCTCTAAAACTCCTGCTAAAATTAGTAAATATTTCCTGAGAACATAACAAACTGAAGAGGATAAGGTTTGTGCTCTTTAGCAGGGAGAAACCAACTAAAGGCTAAAAACATCTATTCTTTATAAGCCAAAGAATTTATATTCACTTCAATATTATATAGTGTAAACTATGTGAGTTAAAAATATTGTAATATTTCATTCATTCCTTTATTCAACAAATGACACTAGCCACCATACTTTGTCCTGGTGATAGGACATGGCCTCTGTTTTTCGAGAATTTACAACCTAGCAGGTGGTACTGAGAAGTATATAGACAATGGCAGTAAAGTGTCTTAAGTACTATGGTAAGATTAAACTTAACAATTTTCAGGTGGAGAGAGAATAAGAAGTAGGATGTCAGGAGAGGTTTCTCTCTAGGTAAACTTTAATTATAGCTTACTTTAATTAAAGTTTACCTAATAAATAATAAATTAAGATTATTTTTCTTGGTAATTTAAAAATATATATCTATACTTATATATATACACATATACATATGTAATATGTCTTACCTAAATATTCAATAATGAAATGGAACAGTAGTAATTAAGATAATTGGAGGCAGTAATGTGAATTAGGATCCTTCGCCATTTATTTGATAGTGCCTTCTTTTTCTAATATAAGCCCTAGGGGCTAATGAAGAACCATTGAGAAGCAATAACCAGGAGAATGATCTAGTAGCAAATAGAGCAAGACAATTGAAACAGTGGGGTGTCCCTCCCATTTAATTTTTATTTGTATATATTCATGGAATATAAGTGCAATTTTGCTGCATTGTTATATTGCATTATGGTGAAGTCAGGGCCTTCAGTGCATACACTGAAACAACACACATTGAACCCACCAAACAACCATCCATTATCCAGACCTCTCCTACACCGATCCCTTGAATATCCATTGTCCATCATTCCATACTCTGCCTCCAGGTGTACACACTATTAACTTCCACTTATATGTGAGAACTTGCAGTGTTTGTCTTTCTGTGTCTGAGTTGTTTCACTTAAGATAATGGCTTCTAGTTCCATTCGTGTTGGTACAAAAAATATGATTGCATTTTTTATAGCTGAATACTATTCCATTGTGCATATTACCACATTTTCTTTATCCGATCATCTGCTGATGGACACTTACGTTGACTCCATATTTTCGCTATTGTCATAGTGCTGCAATAAACATTTGAGTACAGCTATCTTTTTTATACATTGATTTCTTTTCCTTTGAGTACATACCCAGCACTGGCATTGCCGCATTATGTGGTAGTTCTATTTTAAGTTCTTTGAGAAATCTCCCACTAATTTACAATCCCACCAACAGTGTATGAGTTCCCTATTTTCCACATCCTCACCAGCATATGTTATTTTCAGTTTTTTTTTAATAATAACCATTTTGATTGGTGTAAGGTGATATCACATTTTGGTTTTAATTTGCATTTCTCTGATTATTAGTAATGCTGAACATTTTTTCATTTACTTCTTGGCCACTAAGAAGTCTTCTTTTGAAAAATGTCTACTCATGTCCTTAGCCCACTTTTTAATGGGACTAATTGTGGGTTTTGTTGTTGTTGTGTTGTTTGAGTTCCTCATAAATTCAGGATATTAGTGTCCTGTCAGATATACAGTTTGCAAGTATTTGTTCCCCTTCTTCATGTTGTCTGTTTACTTTGTTATTTCTTTAGCTGTGCAGAAGCTGTGTAGTTTAATAAAGTCCCATGTGTTTATTTTTGTTTCCGTTGCATGTGATTTTTTATCTTAGTCAAGAAATATTTGCCTAGTCCAATGTCCAAAAGAGTTTTCCTCTAGTATTTTTATAGTTTACATCTTACATACAAGTCTTTAATCCATATTGAGTTGATTTTTGTATATGGTGAGAGATAGCGGTCCAGTTTTGTTCTCCTGCATAGAGGAAAATGGGCAATCCAATTTTCCTAGCATCATTTATTGAAAAGTGTGCCCTGGCCGGGCACAGTGGCTCACACCTGTAATCCTAGCACTCTGGGAGGCTGAGACGGGTGGATCATTTGAGCTCAGGAATTCGAGACCAGCCTGAGCAAGAGCGAGACCTTGTCTCTACTAAGAATAGAAAGAAATTAGTTGGACAATTAAAAATATATAGAAAAAATTAGCCGGGCATGGTGGTGCATACCTGTAGTTCCAGCTACTCAGGAGGCTGAGGCAGAAGGATCACTTGAGCCCAGGAGTTTGAGGTTGCTGTGAGCTAGGCTGATGCCAC